TTGCACTGCTATCACGAATATTATGATCAGATGTGCAAAGAAAGCCATTCTCAGAGAAAAGACCAAACACTATCGAGTGTTTTGGTCTAGACACCTTGAGGATCAGAAAAGAAAGCGGGACGTCCTTCGCAAGACTGCTGATCAGACTGGAGGAACGGAAGACGTACAAGCCTAGAGACGACAATCAGCTGTCCTAAGGCAAGCCATCTTTCAAGCTAAACGTACTTCCTTCGACAAGTTCATCTCAAATATCAACTATCAAAGTGATCGCCAACGCGCTTTCAAATTTCTGGGAAACCTGCAAAACAACAACGCTTTACAACAAAATCTGGGAGACCAGTCTCGTACCTAACCGCAAAATCTGGGAGACCAGTCTCGTACCTAACCAATGGAAAGTTGCCATAGTAATACCAGTACTTACCAACCAATGGAAAATTGCCATAGTAATACCAGTACTAAAAATCAATGGAAATTTGCCATAGTAATACCAGTACTAAAAAAGGCAAATCTATAGGCCTATCTCCCTCACAAGCGTGCTGGCTAAACTTCTGAAAAGAATGGTTAGAGGCTGACCTGGTTCCTTGAGACTAACAATATTCTTAGGGGTGAACAATCAGGTTCAGGCCACAAAGATCATCGAATCAACAAGTAGCCACTATCTAGCAACACATCAAAGAAAGCACAGTTTTCAAAAGTATACACGATTGATAAAAAAGTCTACTATTCATTTTATCATCACACATTCTGAGACACGTGCTCTTCTTTGATTTTTAAGTTTCACATAACTACTTATTTGTTCTAATGCAAAAGGTCATTAAAGGACATAAACTAAATGTCAATGGCACAAACGACAGACAAAATTCTACCTCCCATCGATCGAGTCTACTGAAGTAAACAACAGGTGATTGTTATGAAAATATTCAATGATATGTTTATTAAAGTAAGAAAAAAGGTATATGTTGTTTGGAGGGGAACGTATTCTATTTCCCTTTATCTCGAGCATGCCAAAACTGTTGTGAAAGGAATTTTAAATAAAATGCTTTGAAACATCTTCGACACGTCTTAAAACCAGTTTGTCAGTGTCGATTTTTTACCAGATTTTACTATCCATATAAAATGAACTGCTTTCATAGAGAGATGCAATTTGTAATATTTAGAAAAAAAATCGACAAATAATTAGGATGAGAACTACACACTACATAAATAATTGTTAAGTAAGGAGCTCCAGAAATTGGCTTTTTAATAATTAATTGCCTTTCCTATTTTTAGAATCTTTGTCGAAAACAAATGGGTATTATATATTAAATTTTCCCTTAAGGAAATTAAACAAATGCAAGTATGTAGGATCGTTCATTGATTCGTCATTTTACCTTTGCGCTACTTTCAAATTCGATGCGAATTTTATTTGTAAAGCGCAAAATCATAGAAATCACCGGTACAATCTCTGTTCATGGATATTCAACCAAATATTGCAGCTGTATTTCTCTTGCTTCGTTCATTTCATTTAATGAACTTAAAGGGTAAATTAGAATTATTTAGATAAACATCTTTTATAACAACCGAATAGGATTGTGGAAAACGTCATAGCATGCCTGCAAGCCAGGATTAGGAGTTGCGGCCGTACACCTCTGTGTGCAGTGACCGTACAAACAATGGTCAATCAGTAGCCTCCCTTTGTTTAATCTAATCCGCCAAGCTGATCATGATTATGCTCCCTGCGTGTACACTTTATCCACAAAATACCTACTGAATAAAAGTGTTCCGTGCATACGTCTGTTTTCTCTATACCTGCGCTATAGCTTAGCTAGTTTTGGGAGTCTAGCTATATGTAGGAGAGTCTGCCACAGAGATTTCAGAGTTAGTCAGGCTTTACTAGTGTAAAGCGAACGATTCCTAATGAGACTATGTGTTGGAATTCACTTTTAGTTTGTCAGGGTGTAGTCGTTGGGCTCTAGCAAAGACAGGCAGTCCCTTCTTGGTGATGTGGTTTGAAACTCCGGATGACATCGAAACTGAAAGTGCTTACCGCCTTAGTTCTGCTTTTCGCTTGTAAGGTAGTGACGGTGTCGAAAAGACTGTTGTCATTAAGGTTAACCTCCAGCCGACACTTATTTAAGAAGTATTTAATATTTATTTCAAATGGCATGCTTTATTATATTTACCATTAGGCATTAAACCTTTGACTTCAGCATCCCACAAGGTTGAAGGGTACATTTTTAGCAGTTAATTAATAGCAGTTCATTAGCCGTCTTCTAGCTTTCCAGAAACTCTGGCTTTCCGTCGTTGTCTTAAGAGCTGTTCACGGAATCAGGTGAGTATTCTCCATTTCCTCCTGTAGGTTACATAGAGGGCATGTGGGTTGAGCGTATACTCCCAATCTGTAAAGGAGTTTTGCCAAGCAATCATGTCCGGTACGTAGTCTAAACACAGAAACGGCTTCTATTCTTGGCCAATTGGCTATATCGGAGAGGGACAATATCAACTATTTATCCTTTGAGCTTCGAGTTCTTTACACCTTGAGGTCAGGAATTCTCTCCTGATTAAGGCCTTCATTGTGTGGAAAGACATTGGCCGGTCCAGGCACGGCAAAATCGTTGTCGCCTTCTTAGCAGGTGTGCCAGCAAGCTCATAGCCTTTAATGCCACAGTAACCAGGAATCCATTTTAGTACGACTGTTTTGTTTATTTTCTCTCAGCAGCTGATAGAGTTTTCTACATTCGTTTATCTCAGCTGTTTTGGGAGTCTCAGTGTTTCCAATTGAGTTTATTGCTGAATTTGTGTCCGAAAGTATCATCGATTTGGTAATTTTCCCATCCAGGTAACATAATTGGCATAATTCTATCCTAATGACCTCTATTTTCATTTTTAAAGCGTATCTAATGTTTTCCACAGCTGTGTAGAAAGAGAAGATTTTAGAGTAGTCACTCATGCCAATGTTTGCTTGGTTTTCTATATGACCCATCAGCAAAGACTTGGAGCCATTGATCTCTAGGATAGTTGACATTGATTGTCTCAAGGGCCAGTGAGCGCATTCGTTCTGAAAGAGCGTTTGATTTCCTGAAGTAGTCAAGCAATAAGTTGCATCAAACTACATCTGTATCTGCTAATGGGTTCATGGGTGGAGGGAAACTTTTTGGTTTGTCATCGATTTGTAATTCTTTCTTCAGTTCTATGGCTTTCTGTATTAGACCAGATTGCGTTTTCAGATATCTTTTACTTGTGGGAATAGAACCTCGCAAAGAGGTTAACTATTTTAGAGTTGGTGGTAAGCAATTTGCTATATAAGCAAATTGGTTCTTTCTTCGGTCTTTTTCTGTTATTTTGGAGGTTATCCAGGAATTTGAAGGTGCGTTGGCTATCACTTTAATAGTTAATATTAGAGAAGAACTTGTCAAAGGAAGTCCGTTTAGCTTGTAAGATGACTTGTTTTAGGATAGGGGAGTGACGTCGCCAGGCTTTTAAATTTTCCGTTCTTCCAGTCTGATCAGCAGTGTTTCGAAGGGCGTCCCTCTTTCTTTTCAGTTCCTCAAGGTGTTTAGACCAAAACACTCAATAGTGTTTAGTCTTGCTCGGGGAATAGTTTTCTTTGCTCATCTGTTCAAAAGATTCGTAATATCATTTCAAAGTTTGCCAGGATGTTGGTTAAAGTTTAGGAAACTTGTGCGAAGTTCATTGTCTAAAAGGTTTGTGAATCTAGGCCAGTCAGCCTTCTTGAAGTTCCATGATAGCTTAGTTGGCACGTTCCTTGTCATGCTTTTGCTGCCGATGGTAATACTAGCAATGACTGGTTTGTGGCCAGAACCAGGATCGTCAATTATTTTGCGACGTGTATGCTCGCTGATGTCGCTTGAAGCAAAGAGTAAATCAGGCGTTGTTCTGGTTCCTTTGTAGTGCAAATATGTAGCCGAATCCTCATTGCTGTAAATAAGTGTCAGAGGGTTGCTGTTTAGCAAGTCTTCGATTTCCTTTCCAGCTATGTTTGTATCCTTGTAGCCCCATCTGGTGGAATGGGCATTGAAGTCTCCTAATATTACAGTTTTGTGTGAGATGTTCAGAAAGTCAAAGTTGGGACAATTCTGTGGTGGATTATAGACTGCATATATCTTGAAGTGGTTTTGACATTTCCAAACATTTAATCTGATTATTTCACATATGTCTTGTGTCGAGCCCTTACTCCTGATTAGATCGCAATGTGAGGCGAGGCCTTCTTTAACTCCAGTCAGAATTCCACTTGCAACTTGCCGGTATTTAGGTAGAAGGAACAGGGTGTAACCTGGGAATTGGTAGTACTTCAGTTTGTCATTCGAAATGTTAGCTTCCAAAATATTGGAAATGTCTACATCATAGGTTTGTAGTATTTTCTGTACTTGGATCTTTTTGTCCGGTGTCATCTTTCCAACAATCCACTGGAGGATCTGAAGACGTTGTGATTCGCCCTGACGAGGGCAATTTTTCTTTTAGCTTTTTATCAAGCTTATCATAATAAATCGAAGTCAAATCAAATGCGAGTGATATACCTTTTTGCCGTACGAAGATACGTTGTCCAGGTTGCACCACGTGGGGGTAAGTCTATCGCGCTCTCCAAATTTACGCTCAATTTTTAATGCTCACTAAGATATGTTTTAAATATTCTCAAACTTTAATGCCTTTGTGCATTTTTCGCAACAAGGGAATGTTCCAAGGTTCGCACAATACTTCCTCAATATATCCTCAGTACATATATTCATAACCCACATGTATATGGCATTTAAGTGCATTTAATTACCTTAATTTATTATTCAAATATTTCATTTATTTAACTATGGAGTTGTAAGCTAGTTCTAACTGATTATATATGCACATTCCATGAAATGCATTGCCATATATCTTATATTTTTAAATTCATGGAAATGGTTTTATTCAAATTTAGATATTTGTTCTATGTAACGATAAAAAATGTCAATTGAGCTGTAGTCGGAAACCAACAAAGAGGACATGGGAATTTTAGTAAATAAAATATTTGACAAATGATTAACAGGTTTCCACACTGATTGAATACGTGCTATA